ACACAGGGATAACTCTGTTCATATATAGAAACCACTCTAAAATGAAAAACAAATATAGGGAGAACTATTTTTAATATGTAGATGTGACAAAATACCTGTAACCAAGGACATAAACATCTTCTTAAAAAAAATGTAATATTACAAACCCAATAAAAAATGTATAAAATATTTGAAGAAGTACTCTTCATGAAATGGACTATATTAGAGTATAAAACTTCGTCTCTCATACTTCGGACGTGTCAGGAGGGACCAGTCACTGGAAAAGGATATCATGTTTGGTAAGGTGGAGGGTCAGAAAAAAAGAGGAAGACCTCCTTAGAGATGGTTGGCAAAGTGGCAGCATCAATGGTTTCAAGTGTGGGAACAATTGTGAGGTTGGCCCAGAATTGGGGAGTGTTTCGTTCTGTTGTTCATAGGGTCTCTATGAGTCAGTACCAACTCAATGGCACCTAACAATGACAATTATTGCCAAAGATGGAGCAACTGAAACATTTGAAGGGGTGATAAATGTAGTAACCACTTTGAAAAGTTATTGGCAGGTTTACTGAAGTTGATGTTAAAAATTAGAATGGAAGTTTTCTGTAGGGAATTATACTAACTGGGAAGGGGTAAGAGAAAGATTTGGGGAGCTATTGATTGATAATTATGTTCCTTGGAGTTGGTTGCAAAACTATAAATCTTTACCAAAGTAGAAAGTCTCATCTTTGTCCCACAGAGAGACTGACAGTTTTGAACTGCTGACATCAGGGTTAGCAGCTATACTTCTAGCCCATTATCATTCCAGAGCTCCTTTTGGGGGGATTAGGTAATGTAGATACAGATGATGTATGCTTGCTGCTTTATGATAAGGATTGGACTATTAACCAAAAGATTACAGTTCAAACCCACCACAGTCACTCCTCACTAACCCTATGTGTCGGAATTGACGCCACAGCCCTTAACAACAATGCATATAAACACAAATGCATTAAAATAAACCCAAAGATTGTATGATAATATCATTCACTTTAGAGTAATTTGTAGTATACAAGGAGTCCTGCTGTGGCACTGTACACAAACACTGGATAGGTAACTGCAAGGTCAGTGATTCAAACCAACCAGTTGCTCCTCAAAACCCTATATATATATATATGGTTGCTATAAGTCAGAATCAACTCGAAGGCACTTAACATCAACAATAATTTGCTCATCACTGTGATGAGTCCATGTAGATGACAAAGCTGGATAAAGACAGTATGTATGATTAGAGAGTCTAAGGTATAACTATGTCCCCTTGCTCACTGGTGAAGTGCTTCTCACATGAAGTCATCTCTAGGGCTCCACTGTCATCCCTGCAAGTCCTGCAGTTCATGACCCTGGAGTTGGCTCTTCCCTGTGTGTGTGAAGAGTCACCTAGCCTCAGGGCTTCCTGCCAGGGTGCTGAGAGTCTGACCACATAACCTCTTTTCTCAGAGGTGAAGGATTCAGATGCGGTTCAGCTCACTCTGTGAGGTCATTAAACCTACACACGCACTTTTCACAAACATACTCTCTGATACCTCTTTCTTTCCTTCCTCCCCACACCACAGCAAGTTTGAGCTGCAGGACTTCAGGTTGCATTAAGCTGGGACCATAGAACAGGCACACACTGGCTTCTTGTTGCCTGGGCATCAGCCCAGGGACCATGGCCATGGAGGAGGCCACTTCAAGCAACAGCTGGACATGGTATGCTTGCCAGCAGGAGGCAGTGCAGCATGCTATGCTTAAGGGCTCAGCAATCTGGCAGTGGCCCAAAGACCCTCTTGGAGGGAGGGAGCACTCTCTGCTTGTTGCTAATGCACAGAATGTTTGGTAATACATTTTAAAAGATAAACAGTAAAATGTTGGATAGCAAGACAGTCTATAAGTGAGGACTAGGAGTATAGTGTCCAGATATGCATACAGAAAGAGAAAGCAAATGAGTTGATGGGATGACGGTTGTGTGTTCCTCAAAAGCCAGATACTATATATTTTCCTTGTTTGTTTAAATCCTTCTTATTCAGGTACAGTCAGGGATGCATCCATGTTTATTAAGGACATAACATTTCCCTTCATCATTTACAATTCGTTCACTTTGGAATTCATTCAGCATGTATTTACAGTGTTTCTACTGCATGGAAGTTATTGAATAGAAGTTGTTGTTGCTATGTACTGTGGAGTTGGTTCCGACTCATAATGACTCTGTACAGGATATCCGAGGCTGTAAATCTGTACGGGAACAGAAAGCCTCATCTTTCTCCCGTGGAACAGCTGGTAGTTTTGAACTGCTGACCTTGAGGTTGGTAGCCTGACTTGTAACCACAACGCTACCAGAGCTCCTTTATTGAATATAAGTAAACATATCCAAATGTGCAAGTGCATCATTTAAAAATCATTAAAAAATCTACAAACACAGAATACTAGGTTTGAAATCATATAAAATGAACAAGATTTTATAGGCCTGAAGTTAAAGATAAATCTGTAGAACTGAAAAAGTTTCCAGGTCAACTTTAGCTGTTGTTATTAAGTGCCATTGAGTCAGTGCCAACCCATAGCAACCCTGTATAGGGTTTCTGAGGAGCACCTGGTGTGCTTGAACTGCCAACCTTGAAATTCAAAGCCTAGTGCTTTAACCCATAGTGCCACATGAGGAATCTACTTTAGATGTTGTTGTTGTTGTTGTTAGGTGCCATCGAGTCAGTACTGACTCATAATGACCTAATGCATAGCAGAACGAAACACTGCCTGATCCTGGGCGAACCACACTACTGTTGCCACACTTGAATCCATCGATGCTGCCACTTGGTCAATCTATCTCGTTGGGGTTCTCCCTCTTTTTCTCTGACCTTCCACGTTACCAAACATGATATCCTTCTCCAGCAACTGGTCCCACATGACAATATGTCAAAAGTACGAAAGGTGAAGTTTGGACATCCTGGCCTCCAAGGAGCACTCTGGCTGCACTTCTTCCAAAACAGATCTATTGGTTCTTTTGGCAGCCCATGGCACTTTCAATATTCTCCTCCAACTCCATAACTCAAAGGCATCAATTCTTCTACAGTTTTCCTTAATCAGTTTAGCTGTAGATGACTAATTTATTACAATAAGCTCAGAGATTTACCCAGTATTATATTTTTTCCATCTTCTATGTTAAACACTAAGAAGCTTTCTTAGTGTAATGGGTTACAAGTTTGGCTGTAAACTACAAGGTTAGCAGTAGATGCTAGCCACTTCAAGGGAGAAAGATGAGGCTTTCTTCTCCAATAAAGATTAACAGCCTAGGAAACCCTATACAGGATTGCTATGAGTTGGAACTGAATCCATAGCACATAACAACCACCACCATCATCTTTTAGCATTCTATGTACTTTTTGGAGTTTCTTAAGATATGTCAAATTTTGATGGAATTTTACTGAAGTCCACAACATTCTTGAATTTTGGAATGCATTTTCTTTATTCTTTTTCTTTCTTTCTTTCTTTTTTTTTAAGACCACAGAGATGGTCATGGTGGTATGCCATCAAGGCAGTTCTGACTTATAGCAACCCTGTATATGATTTCTGAGGCTATAAAGTTTTAGGGAAGCAGAAAGCCTCATTTTCTCACTTAAAAAGGCTGGTAGATTTGAACTGCTGATCTTTCAGTTAGCAGTCCAATGCATAAGAAGCATGTTTCTAGGGCTCCTTCAGAGCAAAATAAACATTTATTATTTCAATAGAGAGTAGTATGGCATTTCCTGGGAGTAAAATTTAGGCAATAGGAATACAATAACAAAACATGTTATGGTAAATGTGAAGATACACGAGAAAGACAAAAAAATTAAATATAGATTGAATGCGTGCCCCAAAGAAATTTTACCTATTTTAAATTTTACTTAGACACCATAGACTATGGATAATCCGAGGAGTATGGATTAGTTATAATTCAATACAGATTTTATAAAATGTCAGATATATCAGTGAGGAAACAGAAGAAAATATTGTGGAGAAAATAAGAGGAGAAAACAGTGGGGAAGATATAATCTGCATTTTTGAAGCATTTTGGATTGATGCTTTACCAGAGAAGAAAGGATTTCAAGAGTGATTTTGATCAGTATGTAATCCTGCTTGTGAAGAACATTTCTTATTATTAAGATTTAACTCAGTTTCGGAATAGTTTTATCCCATATCAGTAACCAAAATGTTCTTTTTTCATGTATCTTACAGTTGTTGTTGTTGTGTGCCGTGGAGTCGATTCCAACTCATAGCGACCCTGTACAGGGTTTCCAAGGCTGCAAATCTTTACAGGAGCAGAAAGCCCCATCCTTTTCCCGTGGAACAGCTGGTAGTTTCGAACTGCTGACCATGAGATTAGCAGCCCAATTCGTAACCACTAGGCTACCAGAGCTCCTTTTTGCCAAAAAAAAAAAAGTATCAATCTAAGGCACATAACAGTGGACCTGACATCTAGCTTTGAAATGTTACTTTATCTCTGAAAAGAGATAGAAATGTCACATTTAGCTCTGTTTAGAATAATGTAGACTGTAGAGTCTTGATTTTGATTCATTTCATTGAACTTAAGTGGAAAGTGAAGCACAGCAATTGAAATAAAGTCAGATATAAGCAAAGTGTAACTGAAAACAATATGAAACATCAAACTTGTATAATTGATGTTGATGTAGTATGCCTGACTACGAATAATTCTATTTACACTCTCTGGTATGTCCCCACTTTGAAGATATAACAATTCCTTTCCATAAAGTGATGCAATAAATTTTAGGGACACCATAACTAGGCAACAAAGCATGATCAAACATTTAATGAGTGTGAGGGCTTTTATTGTCTCAGGGGACAAAGAACAAATGAGTTGTACAAAGTAAGTGTAATAAATAAAATGACACAAATGAGGGTTCACATGTCTTATCCCATGTTCTGACCAGGGTATATAAGCATCCCTTTACACTTACTGGCATTCATACTCAGGATCTTGCCTTGAACAGTAAACCAAACTCATCAATCCTGACGACATGAGCTACTACGGCAACTACTACGGAGGCCTGGACTACGGCTATGGTGGCTTCGGTGGTCTGGGCTATGGCTGTGGCTGTGGCAGACTAGGCCCATATGGCTGTGGCTATGGAGGTTACGGATATGGCTCTGGCTTTGGAGGCTGCAGATATGGCTCTGGTTATGGAGGTTATGGATATGGCTCTGGCTATGGATATGGCTCTGGCTACGGCTATGGCTGCTGCCGTCCATCTTGCTATGGAAGATACAGATTCTCCAGTTTCTACTGAACTGCCACTTCATTAACCCAACATTTGAAGTCTTTCCCTGAGAATTCCACATCTAAAGACATGTAATCTGATGGCAAAGACTGAACCAAACAAATGTCTCTGGATCAAACCAAGATCAGAAGCATGTAACTCTAAGATTTTAATAATATTTATCATTTTATAATTGTTTGGAATACGCTATTTCTCTTGGTATACACCCTATTTGTGTTTTCATAATTGTGGGAGCTTCTATCCCCTTTGCAATAAATTCTCCTAATTTGAAATGACACACTGACTTTTGTTTTTCACTTATTTAAAAAAAAAAAAAAATCAGATTGTATTTGTTTTTAAGTCCAAAGTTGAAAAATCAGTTTTATACTCTTTCATATATCAGTTGAATCCAAAATGAAAAATGAGTATCTTTTCATTTGTCGTTGAAAATGTATGCGTACTTAACCTCTTAATGAAAAGAACAAGCGTTGCTAGAACCAAACATACTCCTACATCTCCTGTAAATGTAAACATGTTATATGAATCTCTACCATGTTTTCTTCATTGCCATTCTCATCAAAATACTTACTGCATAAATTACTAGTAATAAGCGATGATGAGATCTCATTTTTTGTCACATAATTTAAATATTCTTCAGTCAAATTGTTTGTTATTTATTTCCTTGATGATCTGCCATCCTGTGACATTGCATTGTTCTGCAAGATCATCTGTATACTGTAAAATATTACAGTTCAATAGTGAAATACAAAAATCACTTTTATAACAGTGAAATAATCCTTTTTGTGCAATTGGTTGTTCTAAAGCTCTAGAAATTCATAGACAAGTTAAATTTCATTTATCATTATCTTGCAAAACTGGGACATTTCTCACAGATAATGAAAATAAATATTAGACTATGGAAAATATATAACAAAGTACAATCTTAAAAATTATACATGTGAACAAAAATAGTTTCTTTTGCTTGAGTTAATCAGATTCAATAAAACTAAATCAATAATGTAATGATAGGATTGCTTACAGATCTGACAGAGATAAAATGACGTTTACACAGAGCTTCGTCCATTTCCATGTCACGGTAGAGGAAACACAAAACACAAAAGAGTTAAATCTTTCTTTTAAGAATCACAAACAGTATGAGGAATAGAGCTTAGATTAGAAGTCAGTTTTTTTTGTGCAGTCCAGACCTTCTGCTCCATCCTGCTGATTCACCCATCCCTGTTATATTCCCCTTATTAAGTTTGTTCAAATAAAGCACTTTAAAATTATGGTCATCTATTCCGATTTGACAACATTTACCAGCAACAAGAGTCCTGGTGTGGCACTATTGATTATTGTGCCACACTGCAAAGCCGTTTGAACTGCAAATTCAGCAGTTCAAGCTCACTAACTGATCCTAGGAAACCCTATACAGGGTTGCTATGGGTCGGAGCCGACTGGATGGCACTTAACAACAACAACAACAATCAATGACAACAATTCCTGCAGTAAGGAGTTCTGCTGATGCTGCAGGATGAGCACTAGACTATAATGCACTGTTCACTCTAAGGTCAGTAGTTCAAATCCACCAACTGCTCCTTGGAAGAAAGATGAAGCTTTTTGATCCTGTAAAGATTTATAGCCTCAGAAACCCTATAGAAGGTTGCTATGTGTTTGAAGCAACTTGATGGCAATGGGTTTGGAATGGGTCCCTGCAATTATCATAGAATTAGTGATAGTCCACTTTCCACATTGACCATCTCCTTTTATTTATTATTTTTAATTTTGATGATTAATATTAAATCTACTAATTTTTATTTCAGCTGCCTCTAGATAATTGTAACCAGTAAGCAACGTTAAACCCAAATTCTACTAAAAATACAGATTTATTTCAAAGACTCAGGTTTGTTTACTAAGATTTTTTTCGGCTAATTTGTAGGATCTATGGTGTGGCATTGTTGGTTAATGCGCCAGACTACAAAGCCATTTGAACCGCAAGGTCGGTGGTTCAAGCTTACCAGCTGCTCCTGGGAAACCCTATACAGGGTTGCTATGGGTAGGAGCCGACTGGATGGCACTTAATAACAGCAACAGCAACTATCCTTTCAGTTTGTCTAGTCTGAAAATGTTAACTCCAAGTTGACTAGATCAGTGAAGGACTATACTGCTTGGCTTTGTAGAGCATAACAATAGTTATTCTGATTTTTAAAATGTCTAATAGCTGAAAAAGGCATCTGTAGCTGAAAATAAGAACAATAATTTAACTACCCAGGGAAATGAATTGAAACTCCTAGAATAGTGTAACATTATCACATTCTTAGAATTTGAATTTATGAAGATTTTTGGATCTATGATAGCATTAAAGGAGATATTTTAGAGTATCTTCATATACATTAGAATGTTGTCGTTATTAAGTGCTGCCTAGCCAAGTCGGTTCCAACTGATAGCGACCCTGTATAGGGTTTCCAAGGAGCAGCTGGTGAACATACATTAGAATAGCTCCCAGGAAAAAAGCTTTTGTGTCATTTTAATAATGCATCACAGCTAAAGCATGATCTGGCAGTTAAGAAGGCACAGTGTGACACTCCTAAACTTACTTGATTTATTTTTGATTTTATGGCTCCAACTTGGAATGTATTCAAATTAACATTTTTTATTTTTTTCAGAATGTACAATAAAAATGATACAAGTTCTGAAAAGAGCAGAAGATAAAAGATAAAGTAGTAAGATGTGAGGTAATCAGAAAATTTCTAATTAGACAAAAGCATTAAATATAACAAATAAGATCAATAAATTCCAAGAAATTCATTATGTTAAGAAACAGTGTTCATTTATGTTGTCAGTTGTCCATTGAGTTGGCAATGAGTTACAATTAACAGAATGAAATGTAGTCTGATCCTGTACCATTTTCATAATTCTTGGTACATTTAAACCCATTGTGGTAGTGATCTTTTCACTTCATCTCATTGAAGGTTTTCCTCTAGTTTCACTGAGCCTGTTCTTTGCAAAACATGGATTCCTTTACTAGCAGTTGGCCTTTTTGATGACATGTCCAAACTAAGTGAGTCAAAATCTGATTATCTTCTCTTCTAAGGAATATTCACTTATAGATATCACTTATAGACAGTATTTGTTTAAGATACACACACAAACTGAAAAAAATATTTTCAATAAATGGGGCTGAAAATATATCTATCCAAATATGTAAAGAGCCCCTGCTAATTCATAATAGAATATTACAAACCCAATTAAACCAAAATGGGTGAAATTTTGGAAGATATACTCAAAAGAAGAGGATATTTTCATGGCATGTAAACATATGTAAAACTGACCCATATCATTACTCATCAGGTAAAACCAAATTAACCTCAAGATTGGTGGTTCAAATCCACAATCTGCTCCTTGGAAACCCTATACAGTTGCTATGAGTCAGAACCGACTCCATGGCACTTTTGTAACAACACAACCAGATGGTCAGTTCTACTATGTCCTATATGGTTGCTGTGAGGTGGAATCAACTCAATGGTACATAACAATAAAGCAAGAAAACTTTTTGAGTCAAATCCTTCAATAAGATCTTATTGTTCATATGCAGTCATAGATTTACCCATTTCTTTGAAAGGTATGACCCTTAGCTTATCTTTAAGAATATTTCAAAGCATTCATCTGTTCACTACATTTGTATTGTGTTTCTATTTAATCATTGAACAGAAGTCAACAAATTCAATTGAAAAATACATGCATTGAAAATTACTCTAAACTCAACAAAAACTGAACAGCATATTCAAAGTCATATAAAAGGTAACAGGGATCCAGACACAAGTCTCAAGTCAAAGGCATGTTTGGGTGGGGCTTAACCACCCAGATTTTGGATCAGACTTGAGTTACTCACTTATTGGGGTCAGCTGAGGCACTTTGACCACAATTATTTTTGTCTGCATCCCAATGTTTTACATTATGTCTCCACTTTTAGAGATTCTGAAAACTTTTCCAATAGTAATATTCTTTCATTCAAATTCACAATTTTTATATTTGACATATATTTTTAATATCTAAAACTTTTGAAAAATTGTAGTATGTTAGTAAAGAAGAGTTAGTAATCTACTGAATTGAATAAAATGAACACACAATAGGCAAAGATGATTCAAAGACAAAATTACTATGGCAAAGATGAAATGGAAAAAATTAAGTAGGAGTGAGTGAAAATAGTTTTAAGCCAAAGAAAAACTGTATTTATTTCCCAATTTTGCCCCCTGAGACTAATGGGGATTGGGAGGAACTGAGGCAGGGTGATAATTAGAAATATACTGACTGAAAGAAAAGAAAA